CTGAATATATATTTTAAAATATAATTATTATATAATCTGATTGTAGTAATGTATTTATAAAAGGTAGATTTTTTTATAGTCTCCTAAATTTCTATTTCAGTAATTTGAATAGTTATTAATTTATTTAGATTGTATATTCTGACTAAAAACCATTGAATTGTTTTAAATTATTTATTTGAAAATCAATGATTACAGTTATTTTTCTAAAGTACAAAATTTGAATTATGAAATTCATAAATTAATGAAAATAAGAATATATATATTTTTTAAATATTTTAAATTTCTTGAGACTGAATTAAATATGGTTTCTAGTTAAAATCATATTATAATGAATATTACCTTAAGCTTTTGATTTGTTTCTGTTCTATTATAATGTTCATTAAAAGATAATACTGTTAGCATTGTTATAAAAAAAATGTATTTATTCGAAAGATATATATACTTATATTTGAAAGTATTTTCTTAAATTATGTGTAATATTTTCTATGCTAAGAAACACAAAAATATTTAAAATATATAAGGTTCTGTAACATAAGACTTTATTAGCAGGGAGTCATTTAAAAGTTAAATTATGTATCATTAATATTATATGATATTGTATGATATATTTCGGAGAGCAAAACAAGTCACAAACTCACATAAAATTGAATTTGAATTTAATATATTGACATTTATCTAAAATGCAATGAGATACATGTAATTATTGTTGTCTTCACTTTAAATTAAACATAGTATAATCATTTAAACTTAAGAGGTTGCTATACATGTAGTGTTCCATTTTACTGATGCATATCATACATATATACAATATATACATTCAGCGGTGTGTTTTAACTTTAATATTAAAGTGAATAGTTCTATTATGACACTTAAAGGTGAGAACATTATGTATGTTTTCATGTTGGATTTTTATATTTTAGTATTAGGTACAGTAGTCGATTAAGCTTAACCAACTGATTTTAATGGCCGAATTCTGCGGTTTAACTGGAAATCGACTATTGTCAAGTCAATTAAGCCAATTACAAAAATGTAAAATATTGTAAAACCTAACAAGATAGCAAGGATTATTCTTAAGCCCCATCCAGACCAAGAAATTGTTTCTGACATTCTCCTTGATAAATACTTGTGTCACCGCTTATGACAGGAAATCAAAACCATTGTTGACGACAAATTTTTCTTTTGTCTGGATGGGGAATAATAGGTATATGGCAATAGTTACTTGAGCACAATATTAGTAATTTCTTAAAATATTTAGTATATTAGTCAATTAAATCAAATTTATTTAAATTAAAAATTATTCTTTGGCATAACATAGTTAAACAAGTAAACAAGTGGTTTATTTATTTATCAATAATTGTTGTAGAAGTATTGCAAAGTCTGATTTCTATTTAGTGGAACACATTGATCAGATGTTGGTGATAAAATGATAGATTAAAAAGCCTAGAGCATCCAGAACAAGATCTAATGTAAAGCGTATCGCTAAGTATTGGCCTAAATGGTCAACTAAAAAAAAAAAAAAAAATTTAAATAAGTTTACCAGTATAAATAAGAAAATATGACTCAAGACAAATTAATAAATTATAAAATATATCTATAATACATTGGAGCAACTAAATTTATTAGAATACTGAATAATATTTTATATAGGTAAGAATTTTTTCAGTTATTTTGATAAAGTGGTAAACATGCTTTTACTTGAATGAAGTATCTTGAAATACATTAAATGTATCATGTGAACTGTGAAGCATCAAGCATGGCTTAAATATTTAAACCATGATGTGTAAAGTATGGACAAAATAACACAAATTCTTGTCTATAATGTATAAAAGTCAGTGGCCTACTCGTAATCTAAGTAGCCCGGATCCCCGTCAATTCGTTTCCAGTCCGTGGCGTGGACCAATCCCAATAATGTATTATCATTTACTATAGAACATTATATGCATGATATAACATATAACATTGTTATATCATAATTATATGAACATTATATATAGATTTAATATTCTATGGTATAATATAATATAATATTATACATATTAATTGTAATTAAATATTAATAATGTGGTAATTATAGATACTAATTAAAGTTTAAAAAATAATGGTTCAACCATTTGTGAATGGGGTTGTAATTGCGCCTTCGGTAATACAACGCTGTGGATACATATTTCCATCGAAATGATAAAACATGTTCTAAAATGCATCGTATTTTCAAGCTATAGCGTTCTGAAATAAATTCAGCGCATCGAATATTCGAATGCGTTGATGTATCGGAACATCGTAATTACTAATTTCAGTCGGACTAAGGAGTAAGGACTGATATCTTATTGTCTGCTGTGCATGCGCTTAAAATCACTGATAAGGCCCGTAATAAGCCCGTTATCCCTAACGAATAAATTAAGGTGTTCTGAAAATAAGCGATTTTTACCAATACTCTATTTTTTTGCATACTGTATTTCCATCAAGAATTGCAGCGTTGCATTACTAAAGGCTCAATAATACTGCAGCACACGAGCACAGTGACTGTAGCTGGGGATTTTTATTCCGATTACCATCATTTGTATCTTATCTTGTCATAATTTTTGATAACACAACTTCTGACCATAGATAATTATACTTGTTCTATGATAATACATTATGTTGTATCATTGAACTATATAATAACTGGAACGCTCACCACGCAGTGTGGCCCGAGCGAGGATGTTAAAAAGAGATAGCGTATATATTAGGAGTATCTATCCTTGTTTAACATACGGCGCCAAAGCACAATTTTATTTTATATCGCTATTTATGCGGCTTGACGCTTGAATCATAATTATTGAACTACGAGATATTTATTTTCAATAAAAATATACGTATATATACATATTATAATACGATGCATATTTGGATTAATTAGCATTAAATCTTACCTGCATTCGGAAATTAAACTGTCCGCTTGATAAATTGACAACCAATTAATATTTTTTTTAGCAATAAAACTGTTGTTGATATATTTAAATTATTTACTTATTTATTTATTTAAAAAATGTAATATACAGAAACAGAATGAAATACAATTAATGTCTAAAATATGAAATACCTAACTATATATTTGTTTTTCCATTCAAAATGTATTAGTTTTTATGAAAAAATTTTAAATGTAATAATTAATAATATTATATAAAATATTTGCTGTACTGGGGGGGGGGGGGGGGAAGATAGGAAGATAAATAATTTGAAAAAAATTCATTTTCGGCAGGTGTTTGGTGCTGAAGAGGGATTATGGTTAAGTCGGGTTTATGATTAAAATCTTAAAATTACAAATTAAATTGTTTAGCATTTATTTATAGATGATGCATGTTAGAAAATAATTTAGGCTCATATATAAAAATGTCAGGGAGTCACAACCTCCCCCCTAGTTTTGCCCCTGGTATTTATGATACAAAACCTCCCCAAAATTGTATTCTATGTTCCACACTGCCTGGAAAGATTTGTATATTCTTCTTCTTTCCTGTAACATAAAATACAATTTAAATTTGATTGAAACAAAATAATACATTACTTCTTCCTCTTCTTTCCTGATTTCTAGGTTTAGCACTGCCTCTAAGGATTTGTATCTTCATCCTGACATTTTTCTTGTAATATAATAAACAATTTATATTTGATTGAAACAAAATAATACATTACTTCTTCCTCTTCTTTCCTGATTAATATACAAAGTTAAATAATTTATATAATTATATAGGGGCCTATAACTTAAATTAATAGTACAATAAATAGGTATAATTACTTAATAATCAACCACAATTAACATTAATACTAACTTGTGAAATATTAACTCAGTTTTAATATCACTTGAACTGGAACAGTTAAACGCACTACAAAAATTCACCATTGTACCTATAGACTAGAATATAGGTTAGGTTAGGTAGGTACACGTCAATTCTATCAGAAAGAACAAAAAACTGAAATTGACGGACGTCGATCACAAAATTCACAAATCACAATATATTTTATGCCGGTAAACATTGAAAATGAATACAGTACGGCGTGTTATCAATAAAGACAGAGATAGAAATACCTAAAGTATTCGCTATCTCTTTCTAACACACTCGCTCGGTTTTATTTACATTAGTCATATCAGGGTATAGACACTCTGTGTATTGGCAAAATCGGGTGACTCTGGCCTTGAGCACGGTCTCTAAGGGGGCGTGGCATATGTTATCACTTATCATTTAAATAAATCATATCAATATTATCAGTCCACAGAATAATAATACAATATATTATTTCATTAACAATAAACCAATGTAAAATTACATTATAGTTTTTAATTTATATTAAAACAAAATCCTTATCCATTTTACCAAAATTTAATATTGATGTACTTAAAATATGAAAAATAAATTATTTATCGTTATTAATCGTTTATAAAAATTCCGTAACAAAGAGGGATACACGTTGCTAACGTTCTATCAGATTACGGATACGGTACAACTTTTATAGTCCAATACATCATACCGTAGGGATACGTAAACCCTCACAGCTGATCAAGTGTCTATTCTATATTGTTCTGTGGTCATATGGGCGGTGAGCGTTCCAGTTATTATATAGTTCAATGTGTTGTATACACAAAATAAATATTATCGTGCTTCTGACAGATTTATTTAGATAATAAAATATTAAAATATGCTCAAATGTTTATAAACTTATAATAAATAATTAATAATTAGCATTCTGTAATATTTATATTTTAATTTTAGAATTTAATATTTTAAAGAATTTAAGCCTACGAGATATAGTTAATTTGCTATTAACATGCCGTGTAATATTTTTCGGAGCGCGGGTTGTAAATGTACCTCCCCCGGCAATAGCCCTTGGCTCAATCGATTTATAAATTAAGAAGAATTTGATTGTTTTAATTTTGTAATTTATACGTTTTCAACTTTCTTTTGTAATGTCTGCCTGAAGTAAGTCCCACGTTTATACTACGTTGATACTTAGTTGCGTGAACACTAGCCATGGCGTCGGCAGATCTATTAGGCTTGAATAAAACTTGGGAATTATCATTGTATGAGCTTCATAGAACTCCACAAGAGGCAATCACAGATAGTACAGAGATTGCTGTATCCCCCCGGAGCCTACACAGTGAATTGATGTGCCCAATTTGTTTAGACATGCTCAAAAAGACCATGACCACTAAAGAATGTCTTCACAGGTATAAATATTGTTAAACTCTTGGAAATAAATCTACTACCTGATATTGTATTGGTTTTCAGATTTTGTTCAGATTGCATAGTTACTGCTCTCCGTTCTGGTAATAAAGAGTGTCCTACTTGTCGAAAGAAATTAGTATCTAAACGTTCATTGCGCCCAGACCCAAATTTTGATCTATTAATATCCAAAATCTATCCCAGCCGTGATGAATATGAAGCCCATCAAACCAGAGTATTAGAAAAATTGAACAAAAGCCATAGCCAAGCAAACTTGATGCAATCCATAAATGAAGGCATAAAAATCCAAACACAAAATCGTTTGCAGCGTTCCAAAAAGAATCAACAAGATGAGCCAAATGAAAGTAGTTCGTCTACACTGAAAACCACTTCCAACAACCTTGGGGTCGGTAAAGATAATGTCACTAGAACAGTAGTTCAAGCAAAAGTAGCAAAGAAACTTAAAACTGTAATGATTTCTGAAAATGATGGTCCAGCATCTTTGTCAGCTGACAGATCAGATATTACTGAGTGTGATGGCTCTTCAAGAGGAGTATTAGTAGATGAAATTGAACTGGTTTTTAAGCCTCATCCAACGGAAATGGGCAGCGATAATCAATTAATAAGAGTGTTGAAAGAAAATTCTGTACGATATATTAAAACTACTGCAAACGCTACCGGTAAATATATTTTAATTATTAATTTAAGTTGTCGTAACACAGGCATTTGTTGTCTCTGTCTTATAAGTTTTTGGGTTTCTCACGATAGTTCAGTTTTTAAGTGAGTTATGAGCATTTAATTTAACATTAAAGTTGCTATAACATTGAACTATCGTAAAATATCCACATACAAACACAAATAATGTTCTTAAATTTAAGTTCCATAATAGGTCATAATTTACTCTAATTTTTAAGCTAACGAAGCTAAATGAGATCTGCTAAGCATAAATTTGGTATGTTACGTATTTATAAGACGGAGATAACAAATGCCTATGTTACTACTCTTAATAATAATAGCTCTAGATATGAGCATAAGTAAAAAAACAAACTTATTCTAATATTGATAAAAAGCAACTTATTGCTAAACAAATTAATTATATATTATTAGACCCAATAATAAGCAGAAATTGTGTGTAATTATTGGGGGGCTGAACTTACAACTATAGTCTAAAAGTACTAAAGCCAGTTGCTTCTCAGAATTATTAAATTCCAACAAGACCACTTCCAAAGTTTTACTAACTAAACAGTTTTACCTTAAACGTACAAAAACAAGCTTACTCTACTCTTGTACATTTTAAAATTATTTTAACCAGAAATTATAACAATTGATGTGTAATAAATTATTAAAAAAAAAAAGTAAATTTAAGTCATTGTATTATTATTAATATTTCGATTTAGATCTAGTCAACCTTTAAAATTGTGTATTGTATGAAGATAGTCAGTGTGTTAATCAAATTAGCCAATTCTACATATTATATATTATTATATAGGTTAAGTTATACCTGTTCAGCTGTATTTCAAACTTATGGGAGGCTTATATATTAGTCCTATCAAGGCCCCTTTCCCAGATTTCCTCCCGTGGATATATTATAATATATAGGTACATAATAAAATGATAATATTAAAAACCACTGAACTCTATACAGTATACAGTTCAGTGTTAAAAACCCAAAAGATTTTTATAATATTTACATTTAATGGTGCTGATTGATAAAAATACAGTATTTTTTGTTCATTCAAGTAAAAGTATACCAAAATTGAAAATAACTTTAAAAATTCTTACCTATTTAAAATATTATCATACCATGTAGTTGCTCCAATGTATTATAAATATGTAAATATATTTAATAATTTATTGACTTTTATTTAGTCATATTTTGGTCATAATTGTCTTATTTATACTGATAAACATATTTTAAATATTTTTTTTTTTTTTTTTTAGTTGATCATTTAAGCAAATACTTAGCAATGCGTCTCACATTAGATCTTGTTCCGGAGCTTCCAGAACGAGCTCTAAGCTTTTTAATCTATGTATCACCTACATCTGATCAATATGTTCCGCTAAATGGAAATCAGACTTTGGGACAGGTCCACGACAAATATTGGAAAGAGAATAAACCACTAGAAATGTTTTACTCGTTTAACTAAGTTATGGCAAACTAATTTGTAAATTATAACTTTTTTTAATCTTCTCTGCCTTTCAAATAGTTTTAAGAAATATAAATAAGAATAATATTATAAATATTAGTATTAACCTATAACTTAAATATATATTTTATTTGCTTTAAAATGTGGTGCTACACTCTGTTCTAGTTAAGAGCGAATCACCCAAACATGCAGACTAAGCTGTTGGACACTCTATGTAGAGTCTAGGCGCTTTGTCGTAGATTATAACAGTCATACATGATTGCTTACATAGCTGTTGTATTATGGCCAAATCAGTGTTGGGAAGGATCGAAGCTCGGAACGCGTTCCATTTAAAATATAGGAACGAGGAACGGGAACGAGTTCCTATTTTGAAGGAACTTGAACGAAAATTTCCGTTCCTCAAATAATGAAAAAAAAAAATATAAATATATTTATTTTTAACACGTTGAGTGCCACAGTATATTTTATGAAGCGCATATAGTGTGTTTCCGAGCCAAAACTGAGCCGCTCCTAGAAAGGAGTGAGTTAATCGATTTCAGTGGTGGTCAATGGTGTTTTTTGCGAAAAATTTTTAAGTCAGAAATAATCGGTTAACTCTCTCGGTTTGATTATTTCTGACTTAAAAATTGTTCGCAAAATACACCATTGACCACCACTCAAATTGCAAAAAAAGGAACATGAAGGAACGGGAACGCGTTCTTTTTTCGGGACAGGAAAGAGGAACGGGAACGAGTTCCTTTCTTACAGTGGGAACGAGTTCCTTTTTAAAAGGAACTTTCCCAACACTGGGCCAAATACACTAACTCTTGCAGTAGAAATTTTTGGGAATGTGCTTACTCTGCCAGTTTATGTCAATCAATTCGCTTACTGTTAACCTGAATAAAGTATAGTTCTCTGCTGAGATTGTGAAATTACTTTACACTTCAGCTCACTTGACGCTGAAGAACAACTTTTATGAAATGTGCATATATTTAATTTATTCATATAATGAAAACATTAAAGTTTAACATAATATAGAAACTCAGAATAATCGAAGAATTTAATCTTTTAATCATAAATTTATTTATGAAGTATTTTAAATTTTATCATAAAAAATATTTAAAACTATAGTTCTGGATTATGATTTATTAGCAATAGATTTTTTGATTTTTCTTAATATATATTTATACACAATAGGTACTTGATATACCTTAGTCCCTAAGAACACTTTTCAAACCATTGTTTTGTGATTGTGGTATAAGTTCCGTACAAAAACAATTCTAGTTAATATTTATTATTCATTTATCAAAATTATTTACGTTTTTATTTTTATTTCTTATCTTCATAATCTCCCCCCTTAAATATGCCACTGGCATGCCATAGTTTTTTTTGAATCCCGGAAAAACAATCCCCCAACGAACAACCCTGGAAAAATAATCCCCAGACTACAATATTACTCACAACCTCATGCAAATGGTTGAACAAGTATTTTTTAAACGTTAATTAGTATATTCTATAATTAATATTTAATTACAAATACGTATATGATATTATATTATATTGTTAAAAAAATTATATATTATAAATAATATTTTGTTTTAAATTACGATAATATATTATGTGTAATTCAAATTAAATAACGAACTTTAGGTACCTTATATTATATATTATCAAAGGTACATACTAAACCGCTTATCGTCAAAATATCACAGAAAACGCAATATTTTATTTCGGGGATTCAATTTTTACAGAATTATACCAACATAAAATATATAGGTACTTATATTTTGTATAATATTTATTAATATATTAGTATTATTAATTGACGTATCGATCATTCTAAATATTTTTATAATTTTTTTAACAATTTAATAAAATATACGTATTTGTCATTAAATATTAATTATAGATACTAATTAACGTTCAAAATATATTTGTTCAACCATTTGCATGTGATTGTGAGTAATATTGTAGCTGGGGATTTTTTTTCCGATTACCGTTTTTTTTTAGTACCTTTATCCTTGATTATTTTTTGTATAAAATAAAAAAAAAATATGTACGGTAATATTAACCATAATAAAAACAATAATTTACAATATTATTTCAATCTTTTATCATTCTGAATTAGGTACTTTAATTAGATAGTTAGGTATATGATTTTATATATTATGATATTATTTAATACATAAACTACCTACACTAAAAATACCTATCACAAAATTATAATTCTTTATTATTAATTAATATTATTTTTTTTTCATATTTATACTGATTGTTCTATTGTTATATTGTTTTCTATATATTATTTACACAAAAGCTTACTTAGACTTAAATATTACTTATTACATTTATAATTTTTGTTATAATCATAAACTATAATATAACATTAATTAAATTACTAATATTATAATGTGTATACATATTACATCTTACTTCTTAATAATATAATATTAATATACTATTAAACATGATAAAAACAATAATAATAATAAAATAAAGTATGTACCTACCAATCTAATATATTACATATTATAATTTATAAGTATAAGAATGACATCAGGTAAAATACCATATGAACCTGTAACACCTCTAATTATTGTTTTGTGGTATAAGTTTCATACAAAAACCATTTTCTTTTTTTTTCCTTTTATGAAAAATGTTTTTTTGTATAAAGTGTCACATATAATTGTAATTGTTTTATTAATTTACTATTTTTTTTTTTTATATAAAACAAAAAATAAATAATATACAGTTATGAATTAAGCATGGTAAAAACTAAAAACAATAATTATTTGATTTTTAATTGATTTTATAGTTTTGAACTTGCCGCCAAAAAAATTATAGGCCAATCATAGGTTTAAGAAATCATGCGACCCGAGCCTTCTATAGCCTTCTATAAGCTAATGCTCGGGTAACACCCAATGGGAACAAAGTAGGGAAAAATATTGGAGCATATATTTTTTTTGAATAAAAAATATTAAAGTTGATTCACGAATTAGAGAAATACTCTGAAGTACTCTGACCATGCTGAATGCTGATGAATTTAAAAAATAAATGCCAATATCTTCTTAAACCGTGGTAACCACAGCAACGATGTAGACAAGATATATTCTTCTCTACGTCGTGGTGTTACCAGTTACCACTGTGAAAAAACTTCATCTGTGGTGTTACCAACACTGATGGTGGTAACTGATGAAACTGATTTGTTCGAGAAATGGAATCTGAAGATGTGGAAAAACAACAAATCTCTCCCATTTAATAACATTGTACATATATATATAAACGTATACGTAATATTGGGGCTTGGGGTACTTTTCCCGAAATTTCATGGCGAGGAAAAAAAAAAGAAAAAAAAAAAAAGAATGATAACCCGACCTTGCCAACATCAAATAAGTTCAAATTTTCAATTCAGAATTTAGTATTCCTAAATGTACCACCTTGAAAAAATACATATTAAAATATGTATTTGTTCCCGCCTTATTGCTTAATGCTTTTGTTGTGTTTTGTAACGGTTTTTGCCGGCGGTTTTCCCAGTTTCCCACTTTCCCATAATATGAGCGGATGAACGGATGGACAGCCATTGAACGCTTGAACTTTGCCGTACCGACTCTCGTTATGGTTATTTGTTAACTACTGCCTAGTGCCTACTGCTTGCTTACTGTGCTTACTGTGCTTACTATTGTTTACCGTTTACGCATTATTGTCGTTCTATAAACTTTGAACATAGTTCATACCGAAAACCCAGCTCGTGCTTTCGCAGTGACGTAAGTATTTAAAATTTTACTTTTGGGGTGCGGAGAGTTATGTTATAAAAGTGAAATAATTTTATAAAACATCCCACTGATAATTACAAATTATTAAATATTAATATAACTCTATATTAAGTATTATGTGTACAATTAATGATTACCTATGTCAGTTTTTCTAATGTCAATATTGAAGTTAAATACTAGAGTTTTGGGTATTCGTACCTTCGACAGAATTATGCAAATTGATTGTAACAAGGTACAAATTATTTAAATTTTTCATAATTGCAGATTTTCAAACACAGAATGCTGCTCTCAAAAATTTTCCAAATAAATTTCATGCAGTAAAAACCATGGACCTTGTTGTTAGTCATTGGCTGGCGATGGCTGTTTTGATGACACTCCTGAAATACTGAACTTAACCATAACTGTTGTATTACATGGTTAAACATATTTTAATGGATATTTGATGTGTTGTTCAAGGCTACTAATTGTGCAAAAAAATGGGATTATTGTAGGACGACTATAGATCAAAACTTAGTCACTAATTAGTATTTTCAAACCATTCTGGGTTTTGTAGGCCCTTATTTTAAGTTAAAAAAGTATTTAAATAGTATTCAAAGTCAAGCATAAATCATAATATTATGTCTTAAATTTAATTTTAAGATATGATATCATATAAATAATAACCCCTATAATTTAATTAACAAAAAGTTTATATTTATACTAATACCAGAATAAAAAACCTAAGCCACTTTTTACTTTTTTTAAATAATATGTTTACAAATTTTGAATAGACCTTAATTGGTAGAGGTAGTGTTGTACAAGAAAATAATAATAAAAATAAAAGTGTTTGTGTGTTAACAAACTGTACAGTCTTGTTTGGAAAAGTTGAGTTTCTGTTCACTATTATTAACTTTACTATGTGTGAACTCCTCAGTTAAATATATTTTGAGATAAATATTTAAAGATGGCGATGATAGGAATTCATTTTTTGGCCTGTTAAAGAGGATCTACAATATTGCCTATTTTTTGATGATGTATCAAATAACTCTAAACTTATGCATAATTAATTTATTGTGGAAAACATCAAAAATAATATTAGTAATTAATCTTATGTTGATTACTTAAATTATGTATGTTTTGAACTGAAACAACTTCAGTATAATATTATGTAAAGTGAATACTTATTTATGTATTATGTTATAAATCGTTCATAAAACGATTGTAATATTATGTAAATGTAACCAAAAAAATTATTATATTAATTAAATATTTTATGATATCTGTGATATTAATTAATTCAATTTTTTATATAGATCTGTCTATCTGCAATTTGCCTGCGATACACCTGCGATTCACTTGTGATTTACCTACGGTTTACCTAAGTATTTAAAACTTTGAACATAGTTCATACTAAAACTTTGAACATAGTTCATACCAAAAACCCAGCTCGTGCTTTCGCACTTTATTGTTAAAACGTTTTTGTTTTGTTGTTACTTATTACATTTGTTTTCAATTTCTTACCTACTATAAACATAACTACTCTTTTTTTTTTTTTTTTTGTATTTTTGGTGTTCTGATTCTAGTTATATATTAATAATAATGGACAACGAGGAAGTATTTGCTCTCCCAGATCATTTGGTTGACCATGACTACTTCCTGCCAGTTGTATATGAAGATGATCATATACTGCGTGAAGAAGAAGTAGAGGAATTGGTAGAAGAAGAAGAAGTAGAAGAATTGGACGAAGAAGAGGAAGAGGAAGAGGAACCAATTGTCAGAGTGTCGGAAACATACAGATTGATTCCTGGGGTTCATAACCGATCGAGGATATATGTTGACAACTTGGGATTCAAGTATTACAAACGAGAAACTAAAGGACAACGCGTGTATGTTTAATAGTTTATCCAATATAATTACCTACCTATTTGGGTAATGATAATAAAATTATGGCTAATCATAAATAATGTTTTTATATTTTATAGGTATTTAGTATGCGAACGGCAGAAGCAACGGAACCAGTACTGCCCTTCCACTGCAACTGTTAGTGCAAATTTGAACGACAACAGAATTCGTCTAGGGTTCTACCACGACCATCCGCCCAGAGTGATCGACCTGAATGTGCTGTTTTTGAGGGAAACCATAGGTGAAAGAGGAATTGATCCAGCAGTTACAACATCATTTATGAGAACTTTGTACAACAACGAAATTATCAAGTGAGTCGTATTCAAAGTTATCTATATATACTAAATTATTATTTACTACTTGTTAGTAATAAGGTTAGTATTAGGTAGTTTCAGTTAACTATAGGTACCTACTACCCATAATTAATAATAAACAATGCAAAATTATTTATTAACTGATTTTTTGGTTTTGTTAGCCATCCAGAAGCAGCTCCTAACTACACATTTATTCAGGCTCAAGAACGAGTGAAAAAGATGAGACGTAGAAGATTCCCAGCGCAACCCCTTGATATTGGACAACTTGCAGTGGCACTGAATGAAGCACGAAATGCCATTTACGCTCTTACAGTTCAAAATCCTCCATCTAGGTAAATATATTTGTTTGTTTAAAGTTTTTAAGTTATAACTGATAAGTAAGGCTGAGGACTTCTAGTTTTTCATATTTAACTTAAAAGGTCGCAGATGAGTGAGTGATGTATAAAATATAAATATGTTTCATAAATCATAATACAAGTAAGTTACACTACAAATTGTATTTTGCATATTTTGTCTATGCTAAGAGTTTCATGTTGGTGTTTGCCAAATTAAGAGCATAATATTATGTATACGTTTAGAAAATGTAATATTTAAAAATATAACAGTACTAGGTTAATGGCAGCAAAACTGTATATTATCTGATCGATAATACTGCAACACTTAATTAGTAATTTCAAGTTTGTATAAAGTAAATAATCAAACTATCTTTTTTTATATTTTTGTTTTCATATTGATAGTATAATTTAAGTATGTACCAAAAGTCATACATTTTTTTAGAGCATATTTTAAATGCGTATTATTTGTTGTTGTTTTTAGTGCATAAATATTTTCAGGATTAGAAGTACTTTAAGTCCTCAGTCTTACTAATAAGCAATTATATAATTAGCCATATATGGTAATAGTGTATGTGAATCTTATATTAATTTATTGAATTTTAAATTAACAAGTAGGAACCAACAAAAAATGTACATATTACTTACATAAGTGTATAGAAATTTATCTACTCCTGGTAGATGTTTATGATTGTATTACAACATTTTATAATATTTTATGGACACATTTATTTGTCTTTTTATTTTTGCTGTATGAATTATATTTAATCTTTATTTATCAGGGTTGGAACGTATAATACAGTACAGTATAAAACTACTTAGTTTTATGCTGTATCTTTATTCTTCATTAATAACTACCGTAATATTAGTATTCAATATTTATTAATTTAGAATAACAAAAAATAAATTTGTTTTGTTTTTAATTTTAATTTCAATCTAAATTTAAGAAAATTTTATAAGTTGATGTTGAAATTTATAAGTTAACACTTATTAAAATCTTAAATGTACAGTACTTATGTACTATTATCAGTATTATCACTATTATAACAATTATAAATTTCAAACAAAACAATGTATACTTAATACTCCTTATGTCTTGGTCGTTATTAAGATTTTAAGTAAAGCATTTTTAAAACAAAAAATATTTTGATAAGTATTAAAAATTAATATTTAATGACATACATAGCTCAGTTGCAGTATTACTACAACTTCTTAATCCAAAATGTTTTTTACTATTTGTTACATTAACACTTTTCTTATATTTAAGTTGTATTTAAATAGTTAATGTTAATGTTGATTTTGTAAACAACATTTTTGAATTTAGTTTGTTTGTTATGATTAAAGTCTATTGGTTGAGCATTAAAACTTAGTATTGTGCCATAGTGGTCAGCGATTGACATTTAAGTATTCATGCTTGCAAATTATTACATTTATATTTTTTGTAAAAAAATGTGTTTAAATTTGTGGTTTCTCGAGTAGTATTATTTATACATATGAAATTGTCTGGCCATTACATTAAGATAATCAGTAGAATTTAGTGAATCATTAATATTAATGTCTCCTGCTATGACATAGTGAATATTATTATTATTTAATTGCTCTAAATATGTATTCAAATTGGAAATAAAGGTATCAATAATATCTTGTGGTGACCTGTATATACTTATTACTGAAATTTTCATTTTATCTAATTCAATTTGTATTGCAAGATATTACTTTATTTGAAATACTTTTGAGCTTAAAATTATTTTCAATAAAAATTGTGACGCCATAATTTTATTAAATTCAATATACATCCAGGTCTCACTTAATATTATTACGTCAAACTTACCACTAACACTACTAAGCATTAAAATTAATTTATCAAGATTAGCATTTATACTACAAATATCCATACAGAAAAGGTCTATATTACTATAAATCTATTAAATTTAATACTATTTATCCGTTCATAAAATAAATGAATATGAATAACAATCCATACTATAAATGAATACTGAAAATTGTTTTTTTAGTTGCTGACAGTGCAAATTGCACCTAATTATTATTCAGTTACAAACAAATATTAAAATTATTGGTACCATGGTATATGTAATTGTGAATACTTAACCATACAGTTACAAATTGAATAATGTATTGTATTAAATTATTTTAGGGTAAACTGTTCCAAATTACTAAAAATTGTATTTTAAAAATTATTACTAGGTTCTTTCAACAAGCATTGGTCGTCAATGAAAGGAGTGTTGGTGTGATCTTTGCGAACATGGATGCAGTCAACAAATACAGAGAAGAATTGGCCACTGTGACATTGGTTGGGATTGATGGGACGTTCAAGACTGTGCCTCGTGTTCCAGCAGATTTGAAATGTCTCCTTACTATCCAGGTGGTTTTCAAAAGTGTAGTAAGTGTTTGATAATTGATATTTTTTATGAATAATCTAAATTCTTTTTTCTTATCATATTTCTCACTATTTACTTTTTATTTTTTTTTCTAGTCCTTTCCAATGGTCTATGCTCTACTGGGGAGCATGACTGAAGAAGTCTATGCGGCTCTGTTTGATATTGTAAGAAATATTTTACCTTTGAATTATCAACGTGTTTGTTTTATTACAGATTATGAAAAAGCTCTGATGTCAGCCGTTCAACAATCATTTCCGGAAAGCCAATTGAGATGTTGTTGGTTCCATTTTACTCAGGTAGTTTTTTAATAACTTATGTGCACTTAGTGATCATAATATAAAAAAAAAAAATAATATTTTTTCTAGTCAATTGTACGGTATTGTCACCGAAGGATGAACAGTGTTTGTAATTTAATCCGTACGAACCCAGTAGCTGCTCGAGTTCTCAGAATGGTAAATTTAAGTTTAATATTTGTATTCAATTGTATTTCTCTTTAATACACCATTGTGTTTTTAGGTTTTGGCATTACCTCACCTACCCGCAACCAGGAATGACCCGCGCTGTCCATTTTCCATGGAAGATGGTTTCGATGCCATCATGGACTACACAAGACAATTTCCTCCAATTGAACAAGGCATGAGAAACTTTCTAATTGGGTATGTGCAATATTTTTGGTTGTTACAGGTCGGTCCAGGTTTAATCAGTTGTTTTGGAGAAGAATATAGAACCAACAACTACTTGGAGTCTTTCCATTCTACACTTCTAACCCAAATGCAAAGACATCCCAATATATGGAATTTTATTCGTGAGTTTTTGCAGTACAAGGTGTATCGTGTTTTATATGTTGCATCCTTGTGTTAAATGTTTGTTGTTATCAGTATCATCATTATTATAATATGTATTATTTATGTTTCATGTTTAACCTCATAAGAAGTAGTGCTTACAGGATGTGTTGGTAAATGTTACGTCCTTGTCCTATATGTTTGTGTTTTTGTGTACCTCATTTATGTCATGTGTAAACTAACTAACAAGAAGGAGTTAATGGTAAGCTAAGTAAGTAAATTACCTATGTTGTTTTAAAATTTTATTTTTAGTTATTTTTTTAATTTTTGTTTATGGTTATGGTGTATTTATTGTATGTATGTGTCTTGCTGTAACTTATATTATAATATAAACTATTACAATGTACTATTTTTTACTGATCAATTGATTTGCTTACAGAAAAACTGACTGTCCTTGAAAATCAGTATTTCGTTGAATTTGATCAAGCCAGAAGAAACCTAAGGGTGATTATTAATTTTTATTTGAACATAAATTGTTTTTGGGCTGGTTACAGATATGTTATTTTTTCAACAAATAAACTTAATTATATAAAATAATTACATTTCAGATTAGAGATCAAGCATCACGGAGGGAACGAGAGAACACTACCACTGTGTTAGCAGGTTATGTGCAACAACTCAACAGAGATGAAGACCTCACAGGATTTTTGAGAAGGGCTGGACACCGCAATGATGGATACGTACAAGGCATAATCGGACCATATCCACAAGTAAATATATTTTATAATTTTATTTCAATCTTGTAAATTTATTTATATGATTGTTTTGTTTTTTAATAGGATCAGTGAGTATTGTACTTGTTATGTTTTGGATTCTTTTGAAATGCAATCAAAAACTGATGCCATATATACAGATATGGAAGAAGCCTTCGATAGGGTTAATCATAAATTATTAATAAATAAATTGAAAACGTATGGGTTCACTGAACCACTTCTTTCTTGGTTTATTCTTTCATCTCTGGACGCACCCAAATTGTAAAATATAAAAATTATGTCTCTGAACAAATTCTCGTTACTTCCGGTGTCCCCCAAGGAGACCATTTATCCCCAATATTATTTTGCCTTTTTATGAATAATATATCAGATGTAATCTCTCATTCTAAAATATTATTATTAGCTGATGATGCAAAAATATTCAAAAATATTAGCTGCACAAAAGACGCTATTGAACTACAATTAGATTTAAATAATATGTATAAATGGTGCCAGCAAAATGCTATGCACTTAAATTTAAAAAAATGTTTCCATATTACTTTTTCTTTAAAAAGACAACCTATTCAGTTAAATTATTCGTTGGGTAATATAAATTTATTAAAAGTTTCTACAGTACACGATCTTGGTGTAAAATTTGACTCCAAACTATCTTTTAAAGACCATGTACTTTATATTAGAAATAAAGCGTCAAAAAAGTTAGGTTTTTTAAAACGAACATGTCGAAACTTTAGAGATGAATCTGCATTTTTCAATTACTACAAAATATAAATTTTAAAATAAATTCAATAAACCACCGACCTGGAAATTTATTCTACATAAAACATTCAGCTACAAACTATATGCGAAATTCTCTATCAAATATTTTAATGTCCACAGGCAACTCTATAAAAAATATTGATTTTTTTGTTAATTCTCTAAATACTTTTATGTCAAATGTTCTAGGAATACCTAACAAATTAGGTACTAGAAATAAAATTAATATCTCGTTTTTATTTCATTGTATTTTTTATTATAGAAATTTAAATATTTATTGTATGACATTAATAGTACCTATTTGCTCTTTAAATTTTAAGTTATTTTTATTATTATTATTATTATTATTATTATTATTATTATTATTATTATCATTGTTATTAAAATTATTGTTATATATAACTCATTTTACTGTTAATGTACGTGTACATATATTATATGAAAAAAAAAAAAACTGTAATTGGAATTTATTTCCGTAATAAAGAAATATTATTATTATTATGTTTGTCGTCAGGTCGGTACCATATTATACCTTAATATTTTACCTTAAATTACTAATAAAATGTATAATATTATATTTTAATAAACAACTCATTTTCAAATAGCAAATCGCTTGTTTTAAATTTGTTTCATCCATTATCCCTAGCTAATTGTCCAATAATTTTATATTTATTATCTTAAATAACTAAATTATTAAATATTACGAATGCCATGTTATTTGTAAGTTTATTTCATATAACATGTTAAGTATTGTGTAATTTAAAAAAAAAAATCAAGACTTAAGTGATTCATTCCAAGGAAGTACAATATTACAAAGTAGAGACAGATAAATATTACTACAAAGTTTTCCCGATGGATTACGAATTTGAAAAAACCCCATCCTTTAAAAAAAATTACTATCTTTTTTGAAACCTTCAACGATCGAAGGTGAAGGGTCACTTAGTAATCGTAATATAACCCGTGACAGTTAGGGCGAATGGGTTTTCAAAACCTGAAAATTTGAAATAACAACTTCAGCGGAAAACGTTCGTTCGACCACAGGAAACAGGTTACCAAACAGCGTACGTTCGTAATCATTTTCGAGATGTTGATGATTGAAATCCTAAGTTCATCAGTTAATAATTATACATATAAACAATTGTTCATATTTAAACCTCTAATAGATTTATTATGGATGTGATTATAAGAATAGGTAACTACTTAAACAAGTTACTTAGTAAAGTAGTAATAGCTACTGGCACAGAATGTTCTATAAATATGTACCTACCTACCTGTAATTGTTTTTAAAGTTCAACAAATCATTAGTTTTAGATGACGTTCAAATAAGATAATATTATATTTTTATGTTCCCAAACGTTTCGGTTTAGGCCCTTCTAAAACGTACTGCCCGAGCCGGGGGTCCTCAAACACCCCCCCTAGGTGTATTTTTGAAAAGATTTAGTTTTTGTATGACGTTTCTGAAACTCGAGATTTGTATAGTTTGGAGGTCGGTGACCAAATTCGTCGTCTTGTGTCGAGACCATAGGAGCCGTTTTTCTCCGTCTTTTGGGGCTTCGAAAGTTCAAAATTTGCGTTTTTCGGAGTTTTCGTTGCTGACACTTAGATTTTGGGCGTTCTGAGCCGTTTTTGTAGTCGATCTTTATGGAGCACTTTACGCCTGAAAGATTGGCACCGAGATCGAGGTGATCCGACTTTTGGTTCGGGAGTTATGATTTTTAAAGTGTTTTTTGTACTTAGAAAATTACGTATTTACATGTTTTTTAAATTTTTTTTTTTCGTTTGATCACTACAAAATTCTAGAACCTGATCATTCGGCGTACGAGGATTCAAAAAACCTCTATGGTCAAAATACGTACGACCATTATTTCGCCCGAAATCGTAGTAGCAAAAAGTTAGAAAACAAATTATGCTATTTTTCATATTATCAAGGCGTCTCCTTGTGGTATACGTCTGTGTAACGTATCATGTAATAATTATTTTGAACTTTTTTTCACACTTATTTTAGTAGGCGTGTAGCTCATTATTCATTAATGTAAATCGATAGGTATATAAGAATAAAATATTAAAACCTATAAAATAATAGGTCAATTCACTCTAATATTATATGTATTTGAGCTAACAACACAAAATTGGATGTATATTTTGAACTACTAGCTCCTTCAAAATAAGTCGTATCGTTATGAAATCTTCAAGGATCGAAGCAGACAACCCTCGAGATCAAATTTATTGTCTCAAAAAAGCCACGACTCGATTTTAAGTTTGAGAAATTGGCAAAAGAAAATTTCCCGCCAATTTTATTTTTGAAAAAAATCAAATTTTGAACTCAACACTCACCCCCTTAATATTTGAGTTTCAATACTTTTAAAAAGTGGGAACAGGTCTAGAGACGCTTCTGCTTCGATTCTAGAAGGTTTCATACAGATACGACTTATATTGAATGATTTAGGTTTTGTATAGGTTTTTAAAATTCGTAATATTTCGAAAACCTAAATCATTCAATATAAGTCGTATCTGTATGAAACTTTCTAGGATCGAAGCAGAAGCGTCTCTAGACCAGTTCCCACTTTTTAAAAGTATTGAAACTCAAATATTAAGGGGGTGAGTGTTGAGTTCAAAATTTGATTTTTTCAAAAATAAAATTGGCGGGAAATTTTCTTTTGCCAATTTCTCAAACTTAAAATCGAGTCGTGGCTTTTTTGAGACAATAAATTTGATCTCGAGGGTTGTCTGCTTCGATCCTTGAAGATTTCATAACGATACGACTTATTTTGAAGGAGCTAGTAGTTCAAAATATACATCCAATTTTGTGTTGTTAGCTCAAATACATATAATATTAGAGTGAATTGACCTATTATTTTATAGGTTTTAATATTTTATTCTTATATACCTATCGATTTACATTAATGAATAATGAGCTACACGCCTACTAAAATAAGTGTGAAAAAAAGTTCAAAATAATTATTACATGATACGTTACACAGACGTATACCACAAGGAGACGCCTTGATAATATGAAAAATAGCATAATTTGTTTTCTAACTTTTTGCTACTACGATTTCGGGCGAAATAATGGTCGTACGTATTTTGACCATAGAGGTTTTTTGAATCCTCGTACGCCGAATGATCAGGTTCTAGAATTTTGTAGTGATCAAACGAAAAAAAAAAATTTAAAAAACATGTAAATACGTAATTTTCTAAGTACAAAAAACACTTTAAAAATCATAACTCCCGAACCAAAAGTCGGATCACCTCGATCTCGGTGCCAATCTTTCAGGCGTAAAGTGCTCCATAAAGATCGACTACAAAAACGGCTCAGAACGCCCAAAATCTAAGTGTCAGCAACGAAAACTCCGAAAAACGCAAATTTTGAACTTTCGAAGCCCCAAAAGACGGAGAAAAACGGCTCCTATGGTCTCGACACAAGACGACGAATTTGGTCACCGACCTCCAAACTATACAAATCTCGAGTTTCAGAAACGTCATACAAAAACTAAATCTTTTCAAAAATACACCTAGGGGGGGTGTTTGAGGACCCCCGGCTCGGGCAGTACGTTTTAGAAGGGCCTAAACCGAAACGTTTGGGAACATAAAAATATAATATTATCTTATTTGAACGTCATCTAAAACTAATGATTTGTTGAACTTTAAAAACAATTACAGGTAGGTAGGTACATATTTATAGAACATTCTGTGCCAGTAGCTATTACTACTTTACTAAGTAACTTGTTTAAGTAGTTACCTATTCTTATAATCACATCCATAATAAATCTATTAGAGGTTTAAATATGAACAATTGTTTATATGTATAATTATTAACTGATGAACTTAGGATTTCAATCATCAACATCTCGAAAATGATTAAAATTAAATGCAATTTGTTGTGCATGTATAATACTATAATATGACATGTCTCAAAATCTAC